ATCTATCTCTAGAAGGGCTTTTCAGATGCCCTCAAGTAGAACTGGTAATCTCTCCCTGGCCTCCGGGCTTACATCTGCTCTAAACCTGCAGGTCCCTGGGGGCGCATCAGCATTTTAGATGGGGAAAAAGCCGGAAGCAAAGAAAAAAAAGGCCGGAGCCGGAAGGGGCAGGTGGCGGAGGACCGCGGCGGAGACTCACTCGAGGCGGGCGGTGCTGGATCCGCGCGCGCGCCACTTTCTGCTTGTTGACGATGTTCATCAGCTTGATGGCGTCTGCGCCCTTCACATACACCACTGGCCTCTTGAGCGGGTCTTCTGAGCCCTGGTTCAGCTAAGCAAGGAGAGACGGTGCTGCTTAGAAGACGTAATTACTTTCAAGAAGCCGGAGAGAGAGAAAGAAAGACTGAGGAAAAGAACACGAAATTCCCTTTGGAAAATCCCCAAACACCAGCATCATAGACTGGGGGCTCCCAGGCAGATGCAGCTGAGGATGCCCCGTTTTAGGATGAAGGGTCTGTGACAGTGCCTCCCAGCCCCCAGCTCCCTGGCGCTTAACCCCTCTCGACACACTCGCTTTGGAGGACGACGAGCAGATACGGATCACTAATGAGGACAGACAAGCACAAGGGCCCCGAAGACCCAGGTGACACGACGGTGAAGCCCCGCTAAGTAAGGGAGCTGCTTCTCTCAGGGGCCCTGCAGCCTGGGCCTGGCCCCAGGAGCTTACCTGGTCAATAGCTTCTGGGTTTTCAGACACATCGAAGATGACTGCAGTGGCTCCCCGCTGCACGGCTCGCTTGGCCTGGGAGAGTGAGAAAGAGCATGTAGGGACATTTCCAAAAAGCTGACCTTGGAAATCAGACCTGTATTCGAATGCAGAATTACGTGACTGGGCAAGTTACTAACTTTCCTAAGCTTCAACTTAAGTGAAAGTCGCTCAGTCATGTGCCACTCTTGGCGACCCCATGGGCTATACAGTCCATGGAATTCTCCAGGCCAGAATACTGGAGTGGGTAGCCTTTTCCTTTCCTTCCCCAGTGGATCTTCCCGACCCAGGAATTGAACTGGGGTCTCCTGCCTTGCAGTGGATTCTTCACCAACTGAGCTATCAGGGAAGTCCAAGCCTCAATTTGCCTATCTTTTGTTTTGTCTTTTTTTTAAAGGAGGGGGTGGGGATGGGTAGGCAACAGCGCCTTGTTCAGTTGAACCTGAGAACTAGATGAGTTAGAAATGGTAATAAATAAAATAAATAACTGGGTACTCAATTAACCTTTGTCTCCCTCTTCAGCGTAAGCCTTAACATCAGACTACAAACTGACAACCTGCCCCGTCAGCATAAAGGTACTGGTTTCAGTGATTTCTGCTATGAACGCAGGGCCACTGGCAACAAAAGCACATGCCTTTGGTCCTTCTCTTGTGGTCCTCCCTCTTCCCCGTGTCATCCAGCCCTGCAGTTAGAAGAGCCTGTGAATATGTCCAAAGGAATCTCAAAATGGTCAGTTTTAATAATGGACATGAGCTGAAGACCTTTGGAGATGCTGTCGGGTAAGGGGAAAGGCTACGAGAAATAATTGTAAATGGGGATTTAGAGCTGTTGGCTGCCAAACCTGGCCGCACATCAAAAACCACTTGGGGAAGTTTGTAAAGCAGATTTCCTGGCTCAGACCACAGACCCTGATTCAGCAGGGCTGGAGTGAGGCCCAGGAAACTGAGTTCTGAAAGTTTTCTGAGGATTCAACCATTTGGGGAACTACTGGTCAGAGATGAAATGTTTCAGGAGCAAATGAGAAGCGGTGGAATTCTTTTTTGGGGGGCGGAAAGGATTCCTTTCCATCCTGGTGAAACTTCTAGGTTCATGTCCAGCTAAGGGAACAGCAGGGTAGAAGCTGAGGAAGAATCAGACATAATCCTTGCTTTTAGGAACCTGAATCTTGTTAGGGAAGCAAGACTCCTCTCAAGGTGAGGGATGGGGGAGAGAACCAAAACGAAAACCCAGCCTCCAGTAAGATGGACAGATGATGGCCAGTACTCAGAGGTCAAGAAAGCCTCTATGGGCCAGACTGCTTGAGAAAGAACGAAAGCTGAATTCTTCCATAGAAAGAATCACTGCATGGCTACAGCTTGGGAAAGCAACACGGCCTTAGACCGGAATGTGGCTAGGGCAATGCCCCATCAGCCCACCAGAGGGCAGTCTTGCCCCACCGCTGCTGCAACAAGCCAGCTCCTTGTGCTTGGTACAAGCAGGACAGCGAACCCTTCGGGATGCAGCAGACCCCTCCGCAGCTTCATGAGCTCAGGCACCTGAGTGCCGTCCTTGTTCTGCTGGGGACCCCTTCCCGCTGGACTGAGATTCAGTGAACCTGGTCTGCTCTGCCGCTTGCGGGTCCCACCCTGGTTCCCCACTGGCTCGCCCCCATCAGGAGGAGCTCCTGGGTGCTGTCCCTGGCTCTGCCAGACAAGCTGCGGATGGGGGGGTGGGGGGTGGGTCGCTGAGCCTCTTTCTGTCCCCAGACTCAGTTTCCCCACCAGTAAAAGGAGGACAGAGCCTGTGTCGTGAGGACTGGCCTCGGTCACTCGCAGAGGCAACGGGCTGTCCAGAGTGCTGCAGAAAGAGCTGCGATGGCCGTCACCTGCCTCCAGCGAGAGAGGATGGGATGGCCCTGTGAGAAAGTTTGGAGCCAGGTGGTATCAGCTTCCTCCATAAAGCTGTGTAGGGGCACAGGCCCCTTTGCCTGAGGTCAGCAGGTCCTCGGGGGCCCCAGTAAGTGGGTGCCAGTCTTCTGCTCAGGGGGTGTGTGAGTCACTCAGTCGTGTCCACCTCTCTGCGACCCCATGGACTGTAGCCCACCTGGCTCCTCTGTCCATGGGACTTCCCAGATAAGAATACTGGAGTGGGTTGCCATTTCCTCCCCCAGGGATTGAACCTGTGTCTCCTGCTTTGCAGGCCGATTCTTTACCACGGAGCCACCTGAAAAGCCTGGGTTTAAAAATAGGCCATGAATGATCTGCACTTTGAAAATGACACACTGATCATAGTATTCCCAAAGCAAATGAAAAAACGTACTTGGTCGCACGTTCCCCCTCACCCTACATTTTCAGTTAAAAATGGATGCGGCATCCTTGAACGAATATTCATGTGTTAGAGCTTTCATGTCTTCTGTAGTCAAACTTGGACCAAAAAGTTATTTCAAAGCTTCATCTTTATAAAGTCACACACCCAAGGTCTAAATTTCTCAAAATGAGGTGGTTTCAGTGGACGGCTAGGGAAGACGCCTCCTGGTGGATGCTGCTAGATGGTCACAGGCGCTGGGCTTTAGCTGGAGAGTGCAGTTACCCCTGATCAGTGCACAGGCTAGATTAGGAAGAAGAGCTTGGGAAGGGTGCGGGCAGCAGAAAGCAGGTGAGAGGACCAGGCCGGGCCTCCCAGAAGCAGCCGAAGGCCTGGCTTACTGACCTCCGCCGACCCTGCCCCTCGCCCCACTCACACGAGCATGTTCCCACCCTTTGTCACTGCTGGGGCTTCCACCAGGCTGGGGCAAGCCGGCCCCAGCCAGCAGGTGGCCACAAGCCCCGCAGCAGAATGTGGACTAAAAGGTGGTCACGGTTCCTTATTTCCAGGCCCTGCTAGACCCAAGGCAACAACGTCCACAGCCACTGAGACGCGTCACAAAAGCAGCAACATCTGCAGACTTAGGTCTGGCAGGGTGCAATACATCAAGCTCTAGAAGACAGGACCTGACGTGACTGGCACTGCAGTGCAAGACCCCGGTGGTTACTCAGTGAACACTTACTCTGAAGGAGAGCGAGTTTGCCTGGGACTGTGCTCTCGGGATACTGCTCCCTGAACATGGGTTGTCTAGTCTTCCCCCAAGGAAGTGCTTCTGTCGATATGACTGAGTCTTGAATTTCTGGGTGCGTACTGGGCATTCTGCTAATAGTCCCATTACCACCTTGTGGGTGAAGAGACAAACAGACTAGAGTCTGCTTGGGTTTCAGTTAAATTCAGGATGGACCTGGCACTTGCCCCAGAGTGTGCAGTTACACCCAGACTGGGTTTGGGGCCTGGTCCTACCCCACAGCTGGGCTTCCCGGGTGGCTCAGTGGTAAAGAATCCGCCTGCCAATGCAGGAGCCACAGGAGATGCGGGTTTGATCCCTGAATCAGGAAGATCAGCTGGAGGGCACGGCAACCCACTCCAGTGTTCTTGCCTGGGACCATCCCATGGACAGAGGAGCCTGGCGGGCTACAGTCCATGGGGTCAAAAAGAGTTAGACGTGGCTGAGCCCGCACACAGACTCCCGCCCCAGAGCTCCCCTGCAGAGCCCCTGGGAACAGACCGTTGCCCTGTTTCTTCATCAAGCACTGGATGTGGCGTCCAGTGCTTAAACTTTATTGTAGGAAAACTTCCGGTGGAACACAACCTGAATCGGAAATAACCCAAAAGATGGCCCACAATCTCTCCTTTGTTTTTTTTCTTTTTCTTTTTTTTTTAATGTGTTTGATTTTTTATTTTTAATTTTATTATTTATTTATTTATTTTTGGCTGTGCAGAGTCTCTGTTTCTGTGTGAGCTTTTTCTCTCGTTGCAGCGAGTGGGGGCTACTCTCTATTTCCTGCGGCGGGGTGGGGGGGCAGTTCTAGTTGTCCTGCCATCTCTTGTTGCAGAGCACGGACTCTAGGGCACACGCGCTCCAGTAATTGTGGCTCCAGAGCACGGGCTCAGTAGTTGTGCTCCGTGGCATGTGGGATCTTCCTGGATCAGGGCTCGAACCCATGTCTCCTGCATTAGCAAGCAGATTCTTAACCACTAAGCTACCAGGGAAGCCCACAATCTCTCCTTTGTCCCTCACGCCTGACCAAAAGCATAAGCCAGGAAGCTGGACTGTTAGCGCTGATAGAAAGAATTGTGTCTTCAACCTCTTACAGGAAATTCTGACATATGGGGGCTTCAAGCAGACTTTTTCTTTATTTGCCTCTATTGAATATAAGTCTGTGTTCTGTTTTTTTTTTTTTTTTTGCACTTATCATAATCTTCCAACAAGTCATTTAAAATTTTTTGTTAATATCTTTAAGGCTGTGATAGATCCCTTCAGATACCCTGCTCACTCATATCTTTCTGATATTTGGGCTATTTCAGTTTTTTAATTCTTATAGTTAATGCCACGTTGAATGAATCTTGGCTTACACTTTCAATTCTCCTAGGATGGAGGCCCAGGGCCAAAGAAAAAGAAGATTATTAAGAATCTTTATACAATCCACAGAAGATTTTAATGCTCCTCCTTATAAACCCACTCAACTCTTAATTTATCTGCAGCAAGGACAAGATAGGATGACAATGACAATGTAAGACAAATCTGGGTCAACAGATTTAACTTTTGGATAAAGCAGCACATTGGGAGCTGGCCAGGAAGGAGTCTGGCAGTCTGAGAGTAACCCTCCAGGAGATACTTAACACGTGTAAAGACCCCCAGAGTGAACTATGATGCGTACTGAACCTTACCTAGCCTACTGATGCTTCAAGGTCAAGTTCATGTGCAAAGTCTGCCACGTTAAGACTGGTAAGTGCTTCTCTTTAGTCAGAAGCAGCTCTTACCCCTGAGTTCTAATACCTATAAAGATTTCTCCTCTGCCACTTATCACTTTCTATGATGTATTTTCCCCTGCAAAGGTGACCATCTTTAGTATCTTTGCAGTTAATAAAAGTAACATGCTTGACGTGAAAATTCAAACATTACTCAAAAGCTGAAAGCAAAAAATAACCGACTTAGTACCTCCTCAAATCCCAGCTTTATAATGTAACAACAGTGTGGTTTATATCCTTCCATGTGTGTTATTTTTTTAATTCATGTATCAGCAGGCATAAAATGCCTATATATATATATATATACTCACATGTGAAAATATATTGAAAAATAAGTTGGATGTATATAATCTGTTCTCAACTGTTTTCCCCCTTATCTCAACAATTTACTCAACAACATTATATGCAGTGATGCAGAAAAGGGTTTTTCTTCTTACCAGCTATATATAGTCTTCCATTATAGGGTGGACTGCCTCTGACAGGCATTTAGGGGCTCTCTGCATTTTCTCCATCAGGATCAGTGCTGTGTGTACAGTCCTGTACTCACATTCTGGTGGCATCCATCCCTCACATCGCTACATGTGGTCCTGCGGAATCAGACGGTGCTAACATCTCACATGTAATCATCTTGGCTGGGTGCTAGGCTCACCTGCCCTGGGGTCTATGGAGCCAGGAGGTACATCTGACCCATGTCGGTGCCTCGAAAAGCCTAACAGAGCAGACCGCCCTGGGTGGGCGCAGCCCCTACTCAACAAATTCACATTAGTAGGCGGCGGCAGGGTTTAATTCTATTTGTGGTGTCATTTATGACTTTATTTGTTCAATGGCAGTAATTAACCAGTTACTGTGGGTGCTAGGCCAGGAGGATGCACACGGTGAGCAGGACAGTGGCCGCCCCGTCCTCAGGGAGCGTCCGTTTCACCAGCAGTGCTGCGGCAGGCCTCGCCGAAGAGACTTGGGGAAGTTGTAACGAAAGGTCTGAGTGTTCTGTTCTGAAGGCCAATGAGTTAGAAATAAACGCCTGGAGCCACCGATCCCACGTTCCTATAGTAGGTCTCAGGGGATGAGACACCTTTGAGAAATATCACGTGTGCTAAGGCTCTCAGCTACCTGGCAGCCCCAGTTTTTTTGACACAGGACCCTTTCTGAAGCAACTTCTGTCCATGCCTTTCCTTCCACTGGAGAAGCTTTGGGACCCAAGGCTCTGTGCAAACGGCTGGCTCAGGTGACAGGAGTCTCACTGCCTAACTGCTCCCTGACTCTAACGCATGGACACGGTCGGAGGGTGAGGGATGGGCCAGAATCTACATTTTGATCTGGAAGACAATGTCTAAGGAATACACCCACTGCAGCTTACAGGAGGTGGTCCCTGGTGTGAAAACACTCAATTAACAGTTGACCCTCGAATAATGCGGGGTCAGGGCACTGACCCTCTGCACAACTGAAGGGAAATCGCCATGGAACTCAGAGTCACCCTCTGTATACTCGGCTCCTCAATCCCCAAGCTTCCTCCACGTCCATGGTTCCGTGGCCGCAGACTCAACCCCCTGGGTTATGCAGCACTGTAGAAATGACCACTGAAAACACCCGTGTCTAAGCGGACCCATGGCTCAAACCTGTGTTGCTCGAGGGTCAGCTGCATACACAGTGCAATGTGACAACTACTTAAGAGGGCCAACGGTGTGCCAGGCACCCCAGGAAGGATCCAAGCCAGGACCTCCCAGAGGTGTCTGTCTCCACGCACCTGCTGTCCTCCTGGGAGGGGGAAGAGCTCTCGGTTGGCAAGAAGCCGGGTGAGGCTGCCGAGGTCTCCCCTTCTTACTGAAGAGTGTTCACGCGCTGCCCTCCTCCAACATACGCAGCAGCGTGACCCACGGCGGCAGAAGCCACGGTCGTGGAGAACCCAAGACAGCACCAAAGGCCCAGGGCTTAGTGCCCACGACCTGGCATCAGTTCCTGCTTCAGCGGGGCCCCCGAGGTCCTTCTGCAGCTGTTCCCGGGGCAGAGTTCACTGTTCCAGCTCGGGCTGATAGAGGTTCATGCGCCTACCCTTCACGCGGTCCTGGCCTTTCTACAGCCAGGGCTCTCTCCGGAGGGAGGTGCCCCAGAGCGCCCCCCAGGGGCCAGGCTGAGCCACACCCCTTTGCCCTCACCCCTACGCTCAGCTGCTCACTGGGTTTTGCCGATTCCATCTTCCACATCCATTCACTGTTTTCCCAGCCCCACTGCCACCACCCTATACCAGACACCAGAGTTCTCAAGTGAGTCACAACCACCACCCCCCTGGGGGCTCTGGAGCCCACCCTGCCTGCCCCCACCACCCCCACAGGATCTCCATGCAGCACAAGAGGGCATTCTCTGAGTCGCAGACTGCCCTGCCCCTCTCCCGAACGACTCTGTGATGCTCTTAGAATAAGACGTGAGCTCTACTTAAAATGGGTAAGCACCAAGGTCCTACAGCACAGCACGGGGAACTCTGTTCACACGCAGCCGCCTGGACGGGAAGGGAGTCTGGGGGAGAACGGATACTCGTGTGTGTATGGCTGAGTTCCTCTGCTGTTCGCCTGGATCAGCACGACACTGTTAATCGGCTATCCTCCAAAAAAGACACAATAGGATGCGACTCCTCCGGCTTTAAGTGAACTCAACCCACCAGCCCCGGAGCCTGCCGAGGTGGGGCTTCTACAGTTCCTTGCCCACCTGCGGGGGAAACACGCTGCCTCTCGCCCACAGCCAGCGGGGCCTCCAACTCTCACAGCCTCAGGTGTTCCTCTCCCGCCACCTGGCCCGCCAGGTCCCACTGGAACAGCTCTTGTGACATCACACTCACTGTTTACTTAAAGTGCCTCCCTCACTAGAGGGCAGCCAAGGCCTCAGACTTCTTTCCCGCTCCATTCCCAGAATCCTGCAAAGAGCCTGGCACAGGGTAAAATGGCCTAGAAACGTCTGTTGATTGACCTAAAAAGGATGAGCTTTTGCCCCAGGGGTTAGCATCAAACACGCCGGGCCCTGCTGTTCCAAGCACAGGCTGCGGCTCGCTCCAGGCCACCTGGTCTCCTGTTTCCTCTGACTCTTTCTGAGTGGCGGAAGGTTCATTCTCTACCAGATCTTCTTGGAAGTCAGGATCCTCCGCTGGGCAGATGCTGGTGATTTGGTTTCTTATGAGCTGCGGCTGGGTCTTCTGCTGCAGCGCTTGCATACGGGCCTTCTATTGGTGGTTGGTTCTAACTCAGGAATTATTCTCTCTGGGGAACCTCCACCCCAGTCCCTGAGAATGGCTCTGCCTCGCTGGGGATCTTTATGGGGTCCCAGGCCTCTTGTGAGCAGGTCTCTGATGTCAGGGCACTCATCGCATCTGCCCCTTCTACTCCCGGGAGGAACGCAAGCCTCCCTAACAACTCTCAGCAGAGGAGAGCTGAGCAAACCACCACCTCCAGGTACATCCACGGGCACAGACGGCAGGAGTGTCCTCTCTTTTCACTGTCCTCTCGTCGCTCAGGAAAACCTGGCTTTCCTTCCTCCTAGAAGACTTATGGGAGAAGCTGGCCTGCATGACACAGAGGGGCAACGTGTGGACACTGGCCTGCCCACCCCTCCTGCTGTCAAGATCTCAGAACTGGCGGCAGATTCCGAACCACCCCCCCCCCNGACATATAGCGTAGTTACTAAACAAAACTTGCAGGGCATGTGTCTGGTTTAAAGCCACGATTTGGAGACCCTAATCCACTGCCTAAAGGGAGACCCACGCAAAACAGCTCCAACCCAGTGAGGGGGTGGGTGTAGGGAAGTGGGGGTGTCGGGCGGCCAGGCTGGCTCACTTTCAGGGGCGGGAGGAGGCGGATGGGGGAGGAGGGTGGGTGGCGCGGCCCGGCCCGCTCCACCGGCTCCTGGCTCCGGGGCTTGGCTGCAGCCCGGCCTGACCTTCCAGGTTTCCCTGGCCGGAGATCAAAGCGCCGAAGCCACAAACACGGCTCAGAACTGCTAGGCCCCGCGGCCTCCCCCGCGGCTTCCCCTCCCCCCACCCCGTGGGGCCGTCTTCGTGGGGGCGGGGCTTTTGGGGGGGGTGCCGGGCTCCCATCCGGCCTCCTCTGACCCCAGCCCGCCGGCCGCGCCCCTCCCGCCCGGAGAAGGTGTTTCTCGCCGTCATTAAGCCCTCCCGGGGCTCGCGCCGGCTGCGGGTTCCGAGCTCCGGAACGAAGGTGATGCATTTTAAGTCCTCGGGAAGATTATGCTGATCTACTTAGGAGACATGTAGCAGCGAGAACTCAGCGGTTAAGTCAGTGGTTAAGGCTGCCTGCGTTTAAATAGTGTTATTTATTCTCAAAATATGTAGCAGCCCCACTTAATTTCTCCTAATTAAAGGAACCGGCAGGAGAGGCTGGGGGCCGCGGCCGTGTCACGGCGCCATCACCATGTCGGTGCCCTTCAAGAGCAGAAAACACTGGGTCTCGAACGGAAATGCGTTTCCCTAGATCTTAATCTTCAACAGAGACATTTAGACCAGTTCCAAGAAACACAACGATCCTCTTTGTTTTAACACCTTGACGAGGAGCACCCAAACCCGGGAAGCTGTCCACGCCCTCCTGCGCCATCGCGCTGCCGGGTCGGGCGGGGAGGGGGGGGGGAACCTGCGCAGGTTGGGTTGTTCCTTGGGAGATGGCCGTGCCTGCGAGAGAAACTTCTCGAAGGACTTGTTAGCTGCTATGTCAGGTTGATGAGTTTCCAGAAGCCCCACCTCAGGCCAGATCTTATAAAGTCAGCAACTAGAAACTTCAAAAAGGACCACCCCCTTCTCTGCATGGGGCAGCTAACGCTTGTTTAATATAAACAAGTGTTAATTAGGTGGCGGGATCGGGCTTAACAACAACAGTGCCTGCAAAGTCTGAAGACCCGACAGGCTCCCTTCCACCAGGAGAGCAAAGGCCGGGCTCCTCTCAGAGAGAACCACCAAGCCTGGCGGACTTGCTTCTCAACCTTGGCAAATCGTGGGGTGCAGGGCAGCCTGCAGGCCTGGGCCCCTGCCCTGGAGATGCCTATTTCATCTGTTCAGAAGGGAGCCCCCCACTGCAGGATTTTTTCCGAGTTTCTCAGTCAGTTTTAAAATTTAGACGGGGCCGAGGTATCACTGAGTCAGGAGCTGCACGAAGCCTCTGGAGTGCCTGTCAGAGGCACATTCCGAGGCGCCTCCTGGTTCAACTGGACTCAGATAAGTCCAGAAGCTAGGTAACCAGCATCCCAGGCAAAACTGCTGATGAGGCAGAGGAATTCCTGAATCAGGTGGCAAAATGAAAACAAAAACAAGAAAAAAACAACCCTAGGATAGTCTGATTATGTGTTTTCTTATTTTTATTAAGAGGAAGGGAATCTGGATGTAAGAATTTCTGCATGCCCCAAGCAGGCTTGCTCTTTCCATCTGTGGGGCTTGGGGGGAAAGTAACAAACCTTTAAATAAAATAAATTCTACTATCTATCTTGAGGGCTTCCCAGGTGGCTCAAAATAAATTCTACTATCTATCTTGAGGGCTTCCCAGGTGGCTCAGTGGTAAAGAAATCTGCCTGCCAATGCAGGAGACGCAGGAGACTCGGGTTCGATCCCTGGGTTGGGCAGACCCCTTGGAGGAGTAAATGGCAACCCATTCCAGTATTCTTGTCTGGAGAATTCCATGGACAGAGGAGCCTGGTGGGCCACAGTCCATGCACAGAGTTGGAGACGAATGAGCACACATGCATACACATACCTTAACATACACACCTTCATAGAGACTTGAAAGGTCAGGTTCTAACTGAAATTTCTCCAACTCCTTGGATTCATTGTTGGAATATTTCGGTATGGAGAAAGCAGACCCCAGGCCCACCCTGCATTTGGGGCGGGGGGAGCTTGTGCACATGCGAGGGGTCACCCTAGCCTCGAGGCCAAAGTCCACCCACTCTCCTTGGGAAGAGGGCTGTGCTGCCAGGATACCCTGCCCCCAGGAAGAGGGTCCTGGGGGAGAGGACTGCAAGGTCCTAGAAGCCAGCACAGGGCCATCTTGGGGGTGATCTGGGGATCCCGGAAACAATTTAGAAGGGGGCTTCCTCTTGGACTGTCTTTGAGTGGCCAGAAGCTGTAGAAACTGGGCCTCCCCTACCTGGTCTTGGGACATGACTGCCCCAGAGCATCAGACCTAGAGAGGGAAAGTAACCTGTTATGTAAGGGCGAAGCAACGAGTGCTTTCAACAGCACTGAACCTGCACAGCACGTCTGCAGGTGAGGTGCGGCTCGTTCCCGGTTTAGAGCTGGACGGCCAGTGGTTACATGATACAGCTGTGGTATGGGGGGAGCTGAGAATGTGACGTCAGCCTCTCTCCGTAATCCGAGGCTAGAGAAATACTCATGGTATCCTAGGGTTTCCAAAAATCAAGCCTGATGGAGATGCATGCACAAGTACAGATGTGAATGGTAGTCCATTAATAGTTTGTGTGTGTGTGCGCTCAGTTGTGTCCGACTCTTTGCAACCCCACGGATTGTACCCTGCCAGGCTCCTCTGTCCATGGAATTCCCCAGGCAAGAATAGTGGAGTGGGTTGCCACTGCCTCCTCCAGGAGCTCTTCCCAACGCAGGGATCAAACCTGCATCTCTTGCGCCTCCTGCATTGGTAGGCATGAGCCATTGGGAAGCCCCACCCACTGATACCTTATGGAAGTGTTCTGTTTCCCAGCCCCGCTATGAAGTTCCGGGTATCTCTTACCCTAACCCAGCTGGATTCCCCGTTTTTAAAACTCCCTTTGCAAATGCCATGCAGCTCACACAGTCGACATGAAGTGGGGTGGCAGGGTGGACCGTCCTGCTTTTGTACAGGTTAGCTGCTTTGAAAGCTCATGGCTGTCTCGGGCAGAAGCCGTTCATTCAGGAGGTAGGTCCACTGCTATTTAGGCAGCGCAGGCTCACAAACGGTGCACGCTCACTGTATACTTCTTAAGGATCTACCGAGCTTGCTTCACATCAGGCCTCTCCCGTGTACCCCACTGTCGTGATTCCTTGTATCTGTGACTTGTATTAGAATTTGAGTGATATCATTTCCTCGTCTCATTTATAGCAGCAACAGAACCACACCTCTCCCCCCACCCACCTTGGGCAGAGTTGCCAGGTGCCCCTCAGCCCGGGGAGAGGTTTGATGACACCCCTCCCCCCCCAACCATGGTGGCCCTGAGGAAGAACAGCAACTAGAAGGTGACTTGTGAATGGGTGGCTGACCCGGGTTCTTTTTAGCACTGCTGGTGTTTAAAAAAAAAAACCCTGCTCACCTCCCCAGCTCTGACTGTGAGCACCTGCACAATGGGGATGATGCTAACAGATGAGATGAGAAGGAGCCTGGCATGTGGTGAGCACTGTGGCACCATCTCCATCTCGATGCAGTACGTATGCTAGGACTGTCTCCTTGGGGCCCCTGGCCCTCCCTGTGACCACTTGTGTGCAGGCTTCCTCTCCTCTCCTGCAGGTCCAGTTCCCACACAGAGCAGCAGGCACTCTGCTGGACTCACAGGGACTGCACCTGTGGAAGGTTCTGGAAGTCAGCTTGACTGTGCCGCACACCGCGGACACAGAGGAACCTCACAGTTTAGGCACAGAACCAGGAGAAGGTGGTCAGTAACACATCTGAATGTTCTGGGAGCCTCTTAAAGATACGGGGTGGGGGCAGGCCCCACCCTGGAGACCAGGGGCCCAGCACGGGAGGTGGACCCCGCCTCTGTAGGGCTGAAGGCTCCCTGGGTTGACCCTTGGGCAACAGCTGAGAGCTGGACCGCCAGACTGAGACCCCAGGAGGTCAGAGGACGGGGTGGCGGGAGGGTGCTTCTCAGCCCTAGCTCACCCATCCCCGTCCACAGCCAGCCCCCCGGGCCCCAGCCCCCGTCCCAGGACGGCAGATTCCTTTCTCAGGTGGGCTGTTTGGTTTCTAGAAGCCCACTGAGGCTGCTGTAACTCAGACCTAAGGAAAGCGCTCAGAAAAATGTGCTTCAAGGCAATAAATGATTGTGCTTCTTTCGATGTCTGGCTGAGGAAATAATATGTGCCCCACTCCCCCACCAAGCAGGAGGCTCACAGTCAAAGGTCAAAGGTCTGGGGGGCAGTCACTATCCCAGGCATCCTCCGTCAGGGTACCTGGGACCCGCAGGCAGCAAATGTGGCAAGGCTCTCATGCAGAGGGGAGGGGCTGTGGGCACAGAGCAACTCCCTACCCTGTAAGGGGCAAGCTTTGGGGTTCAGCACAGAGGATCCCCCAGGGCCCGGGGGCCTGCACACCCTGACTGGACAGAGCAACAGAATGAGAGTTCCAGAATAGTCTTCTGTGATAATAGGACAATGAAAATTCAAGAAGATGAGAATCTCAAGGATTCCGTTTCCAAAGTCCCATTTTTCTTCACAAGACCCATGGTTTCTTGAACAAAGTCTTCAAGCACACCCTGAGCCGAGTTAGCAGAGTCACAGAACTGGGATCCCACTTCAGATCCACTTCTCTGTGGGAGGTCAGGACAGCTGTGTCATTGGGAGCCCTTCTGGGGACGGGGACTGGGGGTGTGGAGGGGGACGCTAGCGAGAGCAGCTGAGATTATGGGGAAAGCTCGAAAACATCATGGGAGTTCGTTCAGCCTAGAAAGGCCATATTCTAGTGTCTGATTCAAAGAACAAGCCTTATAAGCCCAACTCTACAGACCAGCAAGCTGAAGACCACGTGGAAAGTACACTCGTGTTTTTCCCCTCAATGCATTTCAGGCCTGGTGCTCAATAAACAGTCACCACGATGGTGGTGGTGATGGAAGGGGAGGGAGACAAGCTGAGCAGGCACCGAGCAGTCCTTCCTCAGGCTGAGAACAGACCCGAGCTGGAGGAGAAAGAGGTTCCTGTGCATCCCTAGCCGGCATCAGGGTGGCGGCAGCGGTTACTTCCTGGGTCCGCAGTCCCATCCTGGCTGCTGCAAGGCAGTCGGGGGTGATCACTCGCCTGTGCAGAGCTTGCAGGGTCCTGACTAGAGAGAGGGAGCTGGACCAACAGGGGAAACGAGTGGATTGGGAGCCCAACCATGTGGAACCACCACCTGGAGGGATGCTCCAAACAGGTGCTCCAACGAGGAGCTGGGATGGGCTCGAGTGGCTGGGAAGGGCTTTGGCGGCCAAGCTGCCCAAATGAAGAGGAAGGGGAGGCTGGCCGGGAGCTGGACATGTGAGGTGCTGGCTGAGGCTGAAGACCTTGCAGACACCATCAAGTCCTATGAAGGGAAGAGGCGATGCTCTGTAATGTGATGGTGATTACACATCACGGTCCCCTCCCAAGGCCACCGTGTAAATACTGACTGCTACTTTGATGCTGTTTAGTCGCTCAGTTGTGCCTGACTCTTGGCAACCCCATGGACTGCAGCCCCACCAGGCTTCTCTGTCCTTGGGATTTCCTAGGCAAGAATACTGGAGTGGGTTGCCATTTCCTCCTCCAGGGAACCTTCCCGACCCGGGGATCTTCCCACGTCCCCTGCACTGGCAGGTGGAGTCTTTAACAGTGAGCACCGGGGAAGCTTGACAACTCCTTACCAACTAACTCTCTTCTCCTCTCGGTAGCAGGCGGCAGGCCCACAGGTTAGTTTCCAGCACACAGCGTCCAAGAGCCCCTATGGTTTACTGACATTTTTGGATCACTAACTGAAATTGCATTTTTTTCTGGGAGGGGTGCCCTGACCCCTACACAGGACTCAGGTTGCTTGCTCTGTGCTTACAGGCAAATATGTAATTCTGATGGTCTCACCCAGGAGTTATTTACATAACACATATTTCTCAAATGCCTACCATGATGATGATGGTACAGTCATATGCTGAGCAGGCCCAGTCCTAAAAGATTTAGTCCCTCTTAGCTCGGAGCTGGAGCAGTCACACTGGGGGCCCTGTATGCACAGCAAAAAATACTCCTTGAATGAAGGAAAAACGGGAAAGGGGGGAAAAGAAGAAAGGTGCCTGCTGACAGGGCCCACGTGTCTCCACTTTACGTCAGACCTCAACTCATCATCCTGTGCAGGGCATACTGCCTCGGAACCCTCACTCGGCAAATACTAAAACACGTCTTCGGTGCGAACGCTTATAGCCGACAAATACACGGGCAATTATTGCTTCAAGAAGGCAGATTGATTTTAAAGTGTAGTTTGATGGCCTTTCACTGTGCCAAAAATTGAAAAAAAACCCCAAAACAGTTAATGACTTTGGAAGGCGTTTATAATGAAAGAGACCAAAGGGGCCGTGAACCACAGAAAGGTGGAGTTGGGCTGGATCGCTTCCTTTGGTCAATAATGGGCCGATGACTGTGTCATTAAGAAGAGGACTTCTTGCAAAGGAACAGCTTAATCCCAGGAAAAAGAAAGAGTAAAAAGGTTACATTAAGGGAATCAGGGATAATCTCTATCAATTACCCAGAGCCTTTCCTGTTGGGGAAGTCTCAAAAGAAGAACAGGAAAAGAGCTGGGTTGTGATCCAGGTGCTTACGCTTTGTTTCACTATCCGAGAGCTTGGCGGGCTGGCTTGTGGTAGGTAAGTGGAGAGGGCTGAAACTACCAGTGGGCGTGGGTGGGGGGTGGGGTGGGTGTGTGTTCAGTCATGTCCCACTCTGCGACCCCATGGGCTCCTCTGATGGGATCCTCCAGGCAAGAACACTGGAGCGAGTTGCCATGCTCTCCTCCAGGGGATCTTCCAGACCAGGGATCAGGAACCTTCATCTTCCACACTGGCAGGCGCTTTCTTTACCACTGCGCCATATAGGAAGCCCAGGTAACCACCCCCCACCCGACCCCCATAAAACAAGCAGGTGATTGTAGAATATGCCAGGGCTGGTTCAGGAGGCACCCCACCATCAGGCAGGCAGTGGGGGACTGGCTGGCATCGTTTTGAGGCTAAACAAGTCAAACTGCGTTCCCCCGCAGGAGGCTGGCCGTTTGGAAGGACCAGTGAGCCAGATCCAGATGAGAGGGTGAGCCTGCTTCTCCCGGGCGCCAACGTGGCCCAGCTGGGGAGCCGCCGAGGTCCTCACGCAGAGGGACAAAGCAGGCCTCTGAGGCAACACTGACCTCCTCGACTATGGTCCATCTGAATCGATTAAGTGCCTCTCGGTCCTGGAACGGGATTAAAGAGCACCTAGCCCCACATCCCAGATTTGCAGAGGATGCGGTGACTTCCCGAGGTCAGCACGTTGGCAGCGGGGGAGGGCATTCAACTCACATCCTGTCGGCCCTGCCCCCATTTCTCTGTAGTCCATTATGTTGTGTCATGTCTGAGCTTTCCTTTTGGGAGAAAATCAAAACTCAGGGGCGTCCAGTGGTAGTTTTCCAAAAATAGCTGAAAGATATATTTAACTGGTACCTATGCGTAAGAACATAAGTATTTTGCATATTATTTTAAGCAGTTGTTTACTAGAACATTCCTACACTAAGAGGTCTGAAACCAAACATTTAAGGAAAGAGCTGTTAAAAAAAAAAACTGATCTGTGAAAGGAAGACGGTGAACTGTAATGAACTCGATAGCAGACAGGTGTATGTTAGCCTTAAAAGGAGATGGAGTCTTGAAGTGTCAATTCAAATAATTTCTAGTGAATTGATTTCACTATTAAAAAAAAAAATCCTAAAGTGAATATTTTTGAAACAACACGGGGTCCCCTCATTTCCGCCCCATATACTGAATTTGCTTCTACTGGGCATTTGCATAGCTCAAACTTAGAAATATAAAAGAGAGCTGACTGAAGTTCAAGCTTCTTTCAGAGCACCCAGAGCCTGCTTTTCTGCCGGCCACACCATCACAAAGCCCAGAGCCCCCTCGTCATGAGAACACGAAGATGGGCTACGTTCAGATTCGACCGTGGGCAGGGATGAACCAAGACTCAGGATTACTGGGTTCCCCAAGCCCCGCAAACCCCCAAGGGAAAGGGTGCCCAGTATCAGGGTCTGACTGTCAGTAGGAGGAGCTTAGGTTTGGGGGTCGCATTAACCACTAACAGATGGGGTTATAGATTAACTCATCGCTGGCATTAGTTGGTTAATGTACAATTTGGTAGGTAACTTCAATAGTCCTGGGCGAAGTTCAGAAGGGGAAAAAAAAGATCAGTGTTCCCTTTTCTCATTTAAAATTTTAAAAGGAATAAACTGCTGATACAATCAATATGGCTGGATCTCAAAGTATGCTAATTATGCTGAGTGAAAGAAGTCGGATTAAAGAGTACATATTATATGATTTCATTCATATAAAGTCAAATTAATCTACAGAGGAGAAAGCAAATAATGGTTGTCTGGGGCCTGGCAAGGGACAGAGAGACAGGGGCAGGGAAGGGTTTCAAAGAGGCAAAAGGGAACTTTTTGGAGTGATGGAAAGTTCATATCTTGACTCTGGTCCTAGTTTCACAGATATGTGTGTGTATTGGGGGGGGGCGGTGGTAAAAACTTACCAAATTGTACACTTCAAATATGTACTGTCTATTCTGTCTATTATACATCAATAGAGAACTTAGAGGTGTGTGTGTGGGGTAGAATCTGGAAATATTCTTTCCCCATGATTGCTCTTAACTGCTTAAAAGCAAAACTTGCATGACACAGATAGCTTTCATCATGTGAATGCTGTTAGCATTAGCTGATATAGGAAAATTCTAAAGCTGGTTTTAAAAATTATCCAGACTGAGCAAGATTAGAAGACCTCCTTCTGATACGTCACGTCTCAACACTCTAAAACCAATCCACTCTGGGTGAATCTGGATGAATGGGGAAGCTGGGCCGGCAGTCCTGAGCCCGTGGGGACTCCTGGGTCAGGAGGCGGGAGAGATCACGTGTTGAGGGGGATGATCAGTACTGGAGGGGATGGGAGGTGGCGAGTGTCCCCGTGCACTTGCTCCAGCCGCCCACAGTCCTGGGCGTCTAGTGGCCTGAGCGATTCTTTAAGAATTGATAAGGCGGATAAGAATCCCCTTGCCAGTGCAGGGAACACCAGGGTCCATCCCTCATCAGGGAAGATTCCACATGCTGCAGGCACATAAAGCCCGTGCACCACAACCCCCGAGCCTGCGCCCTGGAGCCTCTGCTCCGCAACAAGAAGCCCCTGCAGTGAGAAGCCCCAGCACCACAACGAAGAGTAACCTCCCCACTCACCGCAACTAGAGAAAGCCTGCTTGCAGCAACGAAGACCCAAGCGCAGCCGAAAATAAATTGTTACTTTTTAAAATTCCGGACTCTCTGATTTCCTAAATAGGTGCTCATGAGTTCGTTGTTTCTATCTGACCCGCAGGCTCCCCGCTCAGGGAGAAGCAAGCCAGCAATAGGACTCTGTAAGGTTGTTCAGGGGATCAGACGGTTCGTGGGTGCAGAGTGTGTGGCACGGGGTGAGCCCCATGAAGGCACCAAGGAATGGCAGCTAGGATCTAGTGTCCAGTGAGTCATAGTGCTATCAAATGTTGATTGCTACAAATCTGACAATGCTGCTTTGAGAGAAAGGAATTTGAGTTTGAGTTTTGAACTGGGTATATCCATGTGTTTAGGAATCGCTTTAGCTTGCTGTCACGAATACGAGTGGCACTGGCTTTCCCCTGTGCCACCTTTAGCTCTTGTCTGGAGCAGAACCGAAACAGTCTCCTCCACAGTTAGGTGAGTCGTCAGAATTTAAAGTGCCCCACCGTGATCTCCCATCCTTCCTGGGTCAATTACAAGTTACACGGTTGACCCAAAGCATCAGATAGCTCCTCTGGTCAAGTGTTAACAAGAAATTCACACCTGTCAAGGGAGACAGAAAAGAAAATCCGGCCACAATACTTTGTGGCTCCTCCCATCAGGAGGTAGAGTTTAATTCAACAGCCCTTGGGCTAGAGCTTGGTCCCGTTGCTGGCTTTGGCCAATGGTTGGTTAGCACTTATGATGCTTGCAGAGGCTTGCTAAGTGCCTATGCATTGGGCTGGCTCTCTTCTGCTGCTGGGAACCCTGAGATGACCACGTGAGGGAGCCTGGGCCAGCGTTCTGGCTGATGAAGACCATTTGTGGGGCAAAGCACTGCTCTCCTGGTTTATCTAGAACACAGGGACCAGACTGTCCTCTCTAGGCAGGAATTTCTCTCCCATTTCAAGTCTCTTGGATGAAAAAGGGTTGCAGAGGCGGCTTTGTGCACCACTGGGCATGCTCCTTAGAACAAAGGGAGCTTTGCCCAGCGGGACATTTCTCCAGCTGAAGTCACGTTGCTTGAGATACTGTACCCTGCCTACTCCCCATCCCACCCCTCACTACTCCCCAACATAAGCCACTCTCAGCTGGGTCAAGTTCTTTAAATCAGAATACAAAAAGTTTTATTTGAAACTCCTTGGTTAATCAGTAATCACTTAAATGCTAAGAGGTCACTCGCATAAAAGGAACAAATACACTTCTGTTCCCACCACCTCTAACAGGTAATTTGCAAAAATCCCTAAATTCAAGCTTTATCTCAAGTCTCATTAAATTAACTCTTGAATTTAAGTCCCTTAAATTAACCTTCATTGAACAAGTGAAAGGATGGCCTCATTCAGGCTTTTCCTACTATAATTATTCAGTGTTAGCAAGACTTTACTTAGCAGAACAAAGGAAGTAGGTTCCTGTGTAACCTTTTATTTGCTAAAGCGAACATCCCTTGCCCTGGCAAAGCCTTGCTTCTCATTCACTTTTTTTCTAAAGAGAAAGTTCTCTAGCTCATTACAGCTGTGTCCACACTGGCATCTACCTTGGGTGTTCAGACACCACATCACCTTCCCAAATGCACTTATCATCACGGGCTGAGGGGACGCAGGGTTGGTCTGGTCTCTAGATTTTCAGGCGACCACGAGGTCAGTGCACCGGAAGCTCTGCCGTTAACTGTGACCATGACTTTTGCAAGGATCACAGACATCATCTAGGGATGACCAGCTGACCTCTTGCAACATTATTTAATTCAGAGTAGAAGATACACCTTTCACCAGCCAAGCTGGTTTTCATCGCAATAGCTTGGGGATATTGTTTTCTTTTCCCTTTTCCTTCCTTCCCTTCCTTTCCCTTCCTTTCTTTTCCCTTCTTACAGCCATGGAGAGAGGGAAAGAAAAAGTCTGGAAGGAAGGATATTAACCCAAAGCAATACATCAAAACCTAAGTTTCAATTAAAGTTTTTCTCTTGTTTTAATATTTATTTATTTAGCTGTGCTGGGTCTTAGTTGCAGCACGCGGGATCTAGTCCCCTGACCAGAGATTGAACCCAGGTCCCCTGCATTGGGAGCGCAGTCTTAGCCACTGGACCACCAGGGAAGGTTCAATGAAGGTTCCCTCCATTCAAGGTTTGGTTAAACTTTGGGTTTCTTAGGCTATAACTAGCCATTAAGGGAAAAAAAAAAAAAACCCACACAGTAAGTTTCAGGCAATTATTAGAATAAAGCTTTTACATACAGCACATCCTTTAACAGCACTCAGCACATTAAATAACTTTTAGAGGACCTGAAAGAAGTTGTCACCAAATAATTAAGTATTAATAGATAATATTTAACAGGATACCTCAAATAAGTTGTTAACTTTCTGCAAGACTCGAGTGCTCTCGCTCTATTACTTGGCAGATGAATATATATGGAAGCGAAGTTCCATTTGATGATTAGAAAGTGACAGGAATCACAGGAATCAAGAGCGTGACCCCCTCCCCCCACCCTCCACAGCAGATGTTTCAAAGAGCAGGTGCCGGGTTGGATTGGTGTGGAGGCGAGCGCCTGGGATGTGGTGAGAGGTGTGGGAACCTTGACTCTGGCAGGCTCTCCACTCAAGACAGCCTATGTGCAGAGACGCCCCAGACAGCCTCCCACCTGTTTATTTGTCTCAAGATGCACACATCACAGCCTGTCGTGTGTGTGTGTGTACTTGCCAGGGGTCTCTGCGCCCCCTTCACTGCCTGCCAGCCCCCTGTGGGCAGGGGACCTGTCTATGCGAGTCACCACTGCATCGGCAGCGTTGAGCAGACTTGGGACGTGGGATCTTCCCAATGGCCCAGCAGGTAAAGAATCCGCCTGCCAGCGTAGGAGACACAGGAGACGTGGGTTTGACCCCTGGGTCTGGAAGATCCCCTGGAGGAGGAAATGGCAACCCACTCCTGTATTCTTGCCTGGAGAACCCCATGGATGGAGGAACCTGGCGGGCTACATACAGTCCATAGGGGTGCAAAGGGTCAGACACGGCTGAGCGACTAAGCACGCACACACGGGGACACAGGAGCTGCTTCATGAACAGAGGAATGAAATCCACAGATGTAGTCGGTTCTTCTGCACAACAGGGAG